AGAAGGAGATAATCAGGTTCATTTTAAGTCATGTTAGAATCCCCTGGGCACTGGCAGCATTTTGCTAATTATGACAATGGAATTTATGAGCTCCTTGGAAATTAGAAAAGATGTGTGTAGGAATGCCAGACTATTGTACAAATCAGGAAAAAATAAAAACTCATGCTTCAGATTTACAAAGCCCATTTTTTGGGGGACAAGACAGCCAGTGAAATGCTTTTAATTTTATATCTTTTAAAAAAGAAATAAGGAAAGCTTCCCAATAAACTTGGAGTAAAATGCAAAGTCACATATACACGGTACATCCTGGCAGCAGAAGCAGTAAATCCTTTCAAGAGGGCCTCTGGTTATTTCAGGTCAACTATGTCCCTTTGATTCTGAGGGGTTTTTTTGTTTTTTGTTTTGTTAATGATAACTCCACTGTTTGTTTTGTCAGGACTCCAAAGAAGTTTGGGTTGAGGGAAGGAAGGCTGCAAGAGCTGTTCCATGGAGAAGAGGCAACAGGATGTTCTAGGGTGGAAGATGGATTGACTATAGATGGTCATAAAGAATGGATAAAAGGTAGACCAGGGTCCAATTTAGGCAAGCAGCATAAGTTTGCAAGGTGCAATCTGATCCTCCCTCTTCCCCTTGTGCTATTATGGTGTCAGAGCTGGTTGCTTAAGAGAAACCAGGAGTTGTCCTAAAGAGGCAAAACAGGGTTTAGAGTAGATCGGTAGTGGTACCTTCTCTGTCACTGCACCAACCACCTCCAGCCTACAGCTTCTCCATCAGGGCCCCAAACCAACCAGCAGAGGCAGTTTTAAGGCTCTTCCCGAAAGCCTGAAAAATGGGAGAAGATCTCATCCACAGCAGCAAAATGTTCCAAAGGGCTGGAAATTCCTTGGTGATGCAGACACAGTAGGCTCTTCTGCTAAAACAAGTGGGGCAGGCCAGTCTCATTGGAGCAAGACAGTTCCCAGATATCCTGGACCTATATCAGTAGAGTTGAGCTGGACTCTGGTAACTACATGGACATTCCAGGTACAATGTTCTAATACTATGTGACTTTGTTCTTTTAGAAATTTTAGAACCCCAATCATGTTCATGCTGATCTGAGCAGTTGTGATATGGAGTCTTAAATGTCCGTAGAACTCCACCTTGAAAGAAGGAATCATAGCCCTTCCTATCTAGAGAATAGCCAATCAGAAAAGGCAAGGGTGGTTCAGGGTCCAAGAACACTGCTTTTGCCTGGGAGAAATGCCAGGCTACAGTGAGAATTGAAAGATCTTGGTGATTTCTTATTGAAGCACAATCCAGTACTATGTGTGCAACACCACATAAATCAAGCCTCTAACTTCTTCCATCTGAAGATATAATGGTCAGATATAATGTCAGCTATTTAGTTGCCAATAACCGTCCTTGACTTATTCCATTATTGCCCTTAAATGTTCCCCAGATATACAAACATTTGATTTGGGGAAAAACATGCAGATGTAAACACACGACAGAACTTCCCTCTGCTTTTCCGTCCTATTTGCTAAATCTTCATTTCCAGAAAAGAACAGTGGATCTGAAATTCTATTTTACTGGTGAGTTAGTTCACCTTTATTTTATTGTGCTTTGCAACCAGATAATCCAGTGTCCCACTAAATTATAAAAATAATATAGTATGATTGGGAGGGCAAAGGTGAATTTGAGTTGTAGATATGTTCTCAACATTTTCTTTTAACTAACTTTATTGGATGGGATGGATTAGATAACATCAGGGTATTCAATACTGTCATACACTGTAAAATAGTTCATTTGTAGAAAGTAATTCGAGAATGTTTTATAGCAGATCTAGTGAATAATTCTCAGGCTGTGTTGCAGTTGAACTTTTCTGAATCTTCTCTACCTTGTCTAGCGGACATGGTAAACCTCTAAATCAGTGTTCCTCAACCTTAATAACATTAAAACATGTGGACTTCAATTCCCAAGATTCCCTAGCCTGCCAGGCTGGGGAATTCTGGTGGTTGAAGTCCACATGTCTTAAAAGTTGCCAAGGTTGAGAATCACTGCGTTAGACCTTGATATATTGGATACCAACTCTCATTATCCCTGATTACTGGCCATAATCAACAGAGCTTCTGATTGCCAATGCAGTGTACACACAAAATTTATTTTTTCCTTTAACTAAAAATGGGAGTAGAGACAAATGGCAAGATTCCTTAACTTTTGTAGATCAGGAATTCCAGTTTAGCTCATGGATGATTGAAATATGAAGCATTGGTTGAGTTCATAAATCACATTAAGCTGTAATATGATTTCTTTGCTTGGAATCTGGAACAATTTCAGAACTCAACTTTGATCATTTGCAAATCATGAAGTAGGGGCTTACGTTCATTTTTGTTTTCTTTATAGTGTTTTCTTGAGACATTGTAACATTCAGATATTTTTGGGGCAGGATAATATCAACATAGGCAGGTTTTATATCACTCCAGCAAGGGTGAAGTGTTGCTATGCACATATTATAAATCACTAGTGTGGAAATGGTTCTAATTCTAAGAGCTGTGAAGAATAATATGATATAAAAGGAACTCAGGGTTACTTTTCCTCAACTAACATTTTACAGAAAACCTGCACAATTCTTTCCATTTGCATTACTGAGTTGCTCGGTTTACAGCATTCCTTGCAAATATTATTAATACGTTGTATAGACCAGTACTAATTTAATTTCTTTTCTGGACTTATGGAATACATGTGCTTGCTTAATGACTTTTCTTGTGAAGGTTCCAACAGAATTGCTGCTGTAGCAGGCCACACTTTGTTAAATTGGGTTTCCTTTTTAGCTAAATCTATGTGTTGAACAAAGTCAGCCTATCAGTGTATTCATTGTGAATGATGAAGGCAAATGCCAACCATATATTTTTCTTTTCATAGAATTGGGAACTGCATGAACTGATAATGAGGCCTTTCCTTTGGATACTGTTCTTTCAAGGTACGAAAACAGGTTTGATTTGCCTCATATGGTTTAAAATGCATCACCATTGCCTTCTGGATCTATGGTGAAACATAGGGTCTAGAATTGAAGTTGATAGGGTTAGAGTTAGGATTAGGGTAAATTACATGGAACCAGCTGGGTAGATGATTTTTTTTTTCATGTTTACTCAGAATCTGAAGTATCCTGAACATCTTGAAACTGGGATACTTGAAGATCACCTTGCTTTTACAGACTGGGAGAGTAGCTCCTGTCTTTGCCAGGATCCATTGATCCCATTATTCATAGATGGTGATAATGTATCAGCCCTTTTACGTGGACCAAACTGAGACATCAATTCTATATGAAGGCTGAAAGTACATTAATTAATACTGGCTATAATAACAGAATTTTGCAAGTCTGATTCTGCCTTCTCTTGCTATCCCTTCATCTATACTCATGTGAATTAGGGTGCTATCTGTTGGTTTCTCCCTTTGTTGTTTTGGTAATAGATCCTGCCTGATTTCTGCCAGGGTAACCTTCTTTATTGTCTACAATAGTGCTTGCATTCTGGAATGCTCCTCACTTTGAACTGTATGAAGACACCATGACTGATCTTTCAGGCTTTTTTGAGCACTTGGATTTAATTGAGGCCTTTGAGGATGTATTGGTTTCTGCATCAATACCAAAAAGCTGACCATGATCTCTCATGTGTTTCTCCATTGTAGGCTTTGGGTGTTATGAATACCCGCTGAGGATAAGTCCCAATTCCTTGGTGGCCTGGACAGGATCCTGTGTCTTAATTCCGTGTCAAATTGATGAAAGATTAAATTCTAAGAAAATTGTTGCCATCTCGGTGGTTTGGTTTTTTCAGCCTATTTTAAATATGACCTTATTTGACTATGTTGGTAGCGTCTTATACAATAATTCCAGAATACCAAACGAGCATGCAAACCTACCAAGTCTTGATTTTCAGGGGCGAGTGAGGTTTGCTGGGGACTTAACAAAGGGAAATTGCAGCTTGATGATTACTCAGCTCCAGAAAAAAGACCATGGCACATATGGGATAAAAGTGACTGCATCTATGGAAAATCAAGCTAATCCACAGATACTTTATACTTCAGCTACACTGAAAGTTTCTGGTAAGAACTTTGCAGAATGCTTTTCATTTCTTCTCTGACTTATATAGATATTGCTCCTCAATTTGGATATAATCATCATCTTGAAGTCTTATTTGCAAGGTCCCCATTGAGAGTTTTCCATTCAGAAATGATGTTGGGTTGCTATTGCCAAGCACAGAAAGGGCATATACTCCTAGAACAGAAATGCATTGGTCTACATCTTGCTGCAGACTGGCAGAAGGATGTGACTTATGGAGAATCAAATTGTTGATGTTCAAGGAATTTCTTGTTGTCTAGGAGCTTTTGAAGTCAAGTTAAGCAAATCCTAAAATGCCTTGTTGCACTCGCTTTGAGTCTTTCCAGCACTTTCAACCTCATTACATTATCCTGTCGCATCTGATTGAGATGGGATAGGACCTCCTGCTTGAGCAGGGGGCTGGACTCGAAGACCCCCAAGGTCCCTTTATTCTATTCTATTCTATTCTATTCTATTCTATTCTATTCTATTCTATTCTATCCTATTCTATTCTATTCTATTCTATTCTATTCTATTCTATTCTATTCTATTCTATTCTACTCTACTCTATTCAATAAACAGGCCATTTGGTATATTGTGTCCTATATACTAGAATTCCTATTTATCAGGCCAGAGTTTTTCTTCCTATTTTTATCCCTGTTTTTTTCTGGATACAGATTTGTTTCCAAGTCCCAAATTGGAAATCTTGAAATGCCAGGAAAGGTGGGCACTGCAAGTGGTTTGTTCTGTGCCTTCCCATTGCCCAGAAGATCCAATAACAATTAATTTCAAAGGTCTAGAGAAGTATAATTGGACTGCAGAAACTATGATGATGAATGATGGAGTACTACAGAAGATGGTCACCATTCAACCAGCTGCGAGACCTAAGAAGAAAGCAATAACCTGCCATTTGAGCAACAAGGACATGTCACAGAAATCATCCATCACTCTGGAGCTAGAAATGAAAAGTGAGTGTGAAGTTGGGAAGAAATGAGCAACCTTGGGTGGGTTTTTCTGACAAGAGTACACAATTCACGTCTCATCTCACCAAGCTTGACTCTTGGTTATGAATATGGCTATAAATTTATTTTTTTTAATAACAGCTGAGATACCATTTGATATGGTCTCTTTCAAGGACATTAAAAAGTTACAGAATGAGTGCATTTTTGGAAATATACAGTATGATCTGAAATATCATCACTGTTTTATTTACTGTACAAAATCTCTCACTCTGATCTGTTGGTGATTTTTTTCAGATTGTCCCAATGATGTCCAGATTTTTGTTGTGAATGAACTGCCCATAAAAGAAGGAGATATTGTCACTTTGAACTGCTCTGTGGGTGATAATATCTCTAGTATTATCTGGTTCAACTGGTGGAAGACTGATCCCCATGTAGCTAATTATAAATACAGCGGTTTAAAGCTGTTGACCTTCCCTGCAAGTTTTGGACCAGTGACATCTTACAAATGTGAAGCATGCAATATTTATGGCTGCACTTCATCTCCACTGCTCACTGTGGATATCTTCTGTGAGTATTGTCAATTAGTTAATAAGCGGAAAGCCCTGAAACATCAATTACTGCTAAATATATAGAATGCTCAGAAGATGAAGAGGCTATAAGAGGGAGATTGTAGGTATCTCTCAATCAATGTGGGTTAAGTGGCACCCGAGCGCAATGGGATTTTCCTCAATCTACTTAGATAGCAGAAACTCACAACATAGCATGGATTAAACAATAAAAGTCTGTTGTTCTCTCTGGAGGGATTCACCTCACACCTGTACTCTCTCTCTCTCTCTGTGTATGCATGCTTTTGAGTCATTGTTGACTTATGGTAACCCTTGCACTTTTCTTGACAAAATTTCAGAAGTGTCTTGCCGTTACCTTCATCCTAGGACTAAGAGAGAGTAACTGGCCCAAGTCACCCAGCTGGCTTTCTACTAAAGACAGAACCCACATTCTTCCGGCTTCTAGTCCAGTGCCTTAATTGCTATGCTAAACTGGCTCTTATTTGTCAGGTATTTCAACCACACTCTTAGTCTTCTTAAAACTTCACAGTCTTATTGCTACCTACAGAGGATTTGCACAGCCCTACATGGAACCATCTTATCTACAGAAACTATCAGTTACAGCCAGTGATATGCTGGTCAATCTTTAACAACCAGTTCTTTCAGCTCCATTGCTACCATTGCACCATGTTGCCAGCCACTACATAGCTGATCACTGTACTAGGTGTCATGGCTCAGCTCTGTTTTCAACTGGCTTGCAAAATTCAGAAAATCTAACAGTTGGTTCTACAAGCCAGTATGAGCCAGGTCCCACCCATCATTGGTTACAACACAAAGGCAAATGTTTTTGCAATTGGTGATGCTAATCTTATGCCTTTGTTTTATCTTGTTGCAGTTGCTCCCAGGAAAGTCAATATTCGGAAAAATCCAGGAGGTCAGATTGAGGAAGGCATGAATGTTGTGTTGCATTGTGAAGTGGGTGAAGCAAATCCCACGAATATCACTTATACGTGGTATAAAGATGGGAAAATGATTTTATTGGATTCTCCCCATGCATACTTGAACCTTATAAGCATTGATCCAGCACAATCTGGCCGCTACTGGTGTGAAGCCAGTAACAGTGTGGGCAAGACACTTTCTCCAACAATCACACTTCACGTTATCTGTGAGTAAAAGCATGAGATAGTATGGCAATGGATTTATTATAATACCTATTTCCTGTTACTAACCACCAGTGATGGATGTTTGGATAGCTTTAGGAACTGGAGGTAAACTTTCCCTTCCTTGGCCACTAACACAGTAATCATAACTTGTTGATTAAAAATTGGAGCTGGTGAATGGATGTAACATTTATCACAAATGAAATGCTTGGATATTCAAATATATACGTGTCGTGATTTGAAAAACCTTTTCAGTTTGTGATTTTCAAGGGCAGTGAAAGCTATGCAAAGGGAAAATACTAACATTGGGCCTGTCAGAAGCAATAAGCATGGAACAACTTTAGATTGTATCCGGTTTGAAAAATATTTATCTTCTAGATTTGGGATATGTTAATTATGCCATGAAGTTGTTTCTTATTCCTAGCAACTATGCAGATATTCCTCATAAGATATTTCACATCTCATGAATTTTGCTAAAATCTCAGGGTTTGTTTTTTTTAATATAAAATTAGGACACTTCACGTTTTCAAAAGTTGCCTGTTCCTATTGTACCTCATTTACACGGAGCACATAAATATTTGTAAATCATGATTTCCCTATTGCAGCTTTCCATTGTAATGAAAATCCAATAAGCATCGTTCCTAATTCTCTGGTTGCCTGGAAAAAGTCCTGCGTGGTGATTCCATGCCATGTCAATCAAATGCTCAGTTCTGCAACAGTCAATGCCACAGCCATAGTGTGGAATTTTAAGCCTTTTGGAAACAGTTTCTGGAGTGATGGGAAAACTATCCTGCTATACAACAGTTCTCAAACCTCTGGAACCATCACAACTGTATCTGATGATGCTTTACCGAGCCGGACATGGTTCATTGGGAATTTAACAAACAGAGATTGCAGCTTGCTGATCACTTCAGTGCGAACACTTGACAGTGGCACGTATGAAGTGAAGGTGACAGTTTCAGTTGACAAATACCCATGGCAATTCAAGCGGTTCCTTACTGCTACGCTGAATGTTACTGGTAAGAAATGTTCAGTATGAATCTCACCTGATAGAAAGCTCTGTTTTCTATGTCTGTGTGTTTCTTCCACAAGAAGCATCTTCTAATTTCTAATTTGTAACTTCTAGTATACAAATTAAGGCAAGATTAAGGCTAGATGATGTGTTCTCACTAAGCTTTTATATACGTATCTTGGCTCCCATTAGGCTTTCTATTTCTCGTTGGCTTTTAAAAAAAATCTCCCTTCTCTTTTATCTATATTTTGGATCATTTTCAAAGCTTCAGGTCACAGGAAGGATAAAGAAACAGATTTCAATTTATCACAGAACCGTAGGTGCATTCACACCAACAGCTTGGTCATTGACAAAGCTCATACTGCAGCATGGAAAAACATGCTTAAAGTAGTTATTTTAGGACTTAGTATATGATGAAAACCCAGGTCATTTTGTTGGTTTATAAGTCAATCTAATGGGCAAACACCGAAAAAGAATTAATTCACTAACCATGTAGCGAATAAAATAATCAGCTGGGCTTGGTAACACATGTCAACAGATTGTTGAATTAATTCATTTTCTGGGTTTGAACAATCTATTTTTATTGATTTTACTGGGCTTATAGGCTGCTCCAGTCATCAACAACTCGGTGTGACATATATCCCAACACCCATAAATTGGTTTAAAAACAATATAATAAAAAGAAAGCAAATCAATGACACTATACAAGCTACATATAACCCCAGGGACAATATTATAACGAACAATTAAAAGAGCTTTCATTATCAGAACAAAGTCATGACATTTCAGCCTTTATTGTACTGTACCACCAGCTAACACAAATGGTTAGCTAAGCTACATAAATAAAACATATAAACAGAACTGTATAAATAGAACTACCAGGTCTTTAAGAGTCCTGGCTTAAGGATGTTGAACAAACCCCATAACTGAAAGGGCTGTTGATTTTTAGGAAGAGGCTCCACAGCCACCTCTCATGAATGGTTTTATTGAGTTCCCTGTATATTGTGAAGGAGTAGACCAGATGACCTCTGTGGTCCTTTTCAGCCCTACAAATTCATGGTTTACATCACAGAATCCAATCTCCTGCTCCATAGAATGTCTCCAACAGCCTCTGTTTCAGTGTGATTGGCTGGGGAATTTGGGCAGTTGAAGTCCACAAGTCTTAAAGTTGCCAAGATTGAGAAACACTGCTCTGTTTGAATAGATACAGGAAAGGAACATCCATCATGCTATTTAGTGATAAGTACCATTATTGAACAGCTTAAGAGGTTTTTCCTAATCTGGAATACTGGAGATAATATAACTCAGGACTTTCGCCTTGGTAATAATAGTTTCATTGCTTGAAGAGGAGTCTTATAACCTTCCCCTATATCTTCTCTTCTTCAGATTCTGATTTCAGCATAGTTTGTGCTCAGTCTAAGAGTGCTGTTGATTTTACTTTCTCCTTTTCAGAGTCACCTCCAGAGCCCACCCTAGAAACTATTCCTGTGAACATGCAGGAGAAGAAAATAACCCGAGTGATATGTTCGATACCTTATCATTGCCCTCGTAAACTAGTAAACTTGACTCTCAATGGTTTAGAAGGAGAACACTTCCCACCTCAAAAAACAACACTTGGAAATGGAGTGATTCAGACTGTGCTGAGTTTTGAACCAACGTGGGAGGACAATGGGAAAATGCTGAGCTGTTTGTTCAAATCAGGAGCACAAGTGTTATCTCAAAGCTCTGTGAAGCTGGACGTGACATGTAAGTGTACAGTGGAGAAGGAAATTGCCCTTTTGAATATAGTGCTATCAGGACAGGAGTTGAGACTAGACACTTAGGAATCCACTCACTCTACTCAGAATGAGTAGAAGTCTTCCAAACATAGCATAGTTAGTTCTACTCAAGTTGAGTAAAATTCTATGGTTTTAATGAACTTAGGAAAGTGGTAAAGTCTCTTTTAAGTTGAGTTGGCTCCAGTTGACTTAATGGACATATTCAAGCCATTTTCTAGGCAGCACTATGAAAATAGTTTGTTACTCCATCTAGCATAGAGGGTTTTTTTGGGGTGTGTGTGTGTGTTTCTCAGTCTAGTGCACAATCCTGATATTTCAATATGATCTCAAATCAAACTTCTAAACGGGCCTCACACAGCTTAATTTTTCAAGATTTGCTAAGATCAGCTAGGCACTACTCTCTGCTAGGACTTCAATGAGTTTACATGAAAGTGAAAGCTATGAAGCTCCGGGAATATATCTTGTGGTACTGACATCTCTGTGCGTGTATTGTATAAAAGAGTCCACGTGTGTGCTATGCTGGATGTTCTGTTGCAATTTAGTTCCTCCAAAAAAGGGGAAATAGCATGGAAAGTGAGATTGTTTAAAGACATAATTTAAATATAGTTGTCTTTTCCCATAATTTCAACATAATTCTCTTTTCCAATACTGTAATCTGATTACTCAGATTTGTGCTTTGCACTGGCCCATTCTTTTGGTAGATGTAGGGCATAGGAGCTACGGTGAAGAAGGCAATATGGATTAAAGGGAGGAATTGGATCAGAGTTTCTCAATCTCAGCAACTGTGAAATAGCTGATCTTCAATTCCAACAAGTAGGCTGGGAAATTCTGGGAGTTAAGATCCACATATTTTAGATATGTGGCTTTAATCGGGTTTTTTTTCAGTTAGTTTACTTTCACCAGGCAATGTATATGGCTCTATACACACACTCTTCTTATAATATTTACTCCTGTCTATTTCCTCCACCAAGAGACATATTGATTTGATTTTCCAGATGCTCCCAAGGAGGTCCAGCTTGCTGTTTTAAATGATCTGCCCATTAAGGAAGGAGATACCATCATGATGAACTGCTCTTTTGGCAGTAGTAAACCCAATGATAATTGGTACAACTGGTTTAAGTCAGATCCCTCTATGATTGAATATAAATATAGTGGGCCAAATTTATTGACCTTCCCTGCAACACTTGGACCTTACAACACTTCTTATGAATGTGAAGTATGCAACAGGATTGGCTGCACTTCATCTCCAGTAGTCACACTGGAGGTCTTCTGTGAGTAATACTAATTCATTTACAGATTTGAAATCTCGAATTACCAAAGGAAGGAAATATAATAATGGTCCCCAGAAGACATGGGGCTTTGTGGGGAGGAGAGCTAAACCACAATGCCTGCTTAGGGTCAGGAAGTGGGATGGGAGGTGGCCTGAAAGTTGGTGTTCTTTATAGCAGTGTTTTCAGGCTTGACAGCTTAAAGAGGCGTGAACTTGAGTTCTGGGAGTTGAAGTCCATAATCTTCAAGTGGCCATGGTTGAGAAACACTGATCTGTGGGGATTCCTTCCTATGGAAATGGCCTCCTATGGAACAGAAGGGAGGACACACATTCCCCCTCAGTCTCATGGATTTTCCAGAGACTCTTTTAAGGGTCACTGATGTAATTTTACTGTATTATAATAATTTCACTTTGTTATGGGAACTATCTGCTTCTTCTCCACACCTGCTGCAGTGTCCTTGGAAAGGTTTCAGGCTCTCATAGTCTTCAGCGGACCTATTTCGTACAATCGGACTTTTCTGCAGTAGAATTAACGTGGGTTATAAGGTGGCATCAAGATTGTCTGGGACACTACACATCCTCTTCATGACCTGTTTTCCTTGTTACCTTCTGGGAGGAGGGGGCTTTGTGGTATCCGTAGCAGAACATCCAGATTCAGCCATAGTTTCATTCCATACAGCATTCATCTTGCGAACTCTCAAGCTTCCTCCTTCCGTTATATATTCAAGATGGACAGCATTTAATATTTATTTGCTACGTATATGTAGGGAGGTGGGTCTATATATATGTTGTTCATAGTATGTTTAGGTGTGTGTCATGTATGTGTTTCACTTTGAGAGCGGGCAACTAAATTTCATTTTTGATGTGTGCCATTGTGCCCACAGTAAAAAAAAAATGACAATAAAGGTTATCTTATCATTTTCCTGTGCTCGGTCCCAGATGAAATTATGGAAGGGGCAGGTCATCTCCACGTGAATCTTTTTCTTTATTCTGTCTTCTAGTTGCTCCCAAGGAGGTTAAAATTCTGCAAAAGCCAGAAGGGCGGATACATGAATTTGCCTCTGTTTATCTGAAATGTGAAGTGGAAATAGCAAAGCCCGTGGATCTGACTTTCAAATGGTATAAAAATGAGGAGCTGCTGGATTTTACAGGCCATGTCCTGACCATCTTAAAAACAAATCCCTTCCATTCAGGCACCTATCACTGTGAAGCTGAAAACAGCGTGGGCAGCTCACGCTCCCCAGCTATTACGCTGCATGTACTTTGTGAGTAATCTTTGCTCATACATCTAATTGCTATGCTTGAGACATCTTCAGTCATTAATCCATTCCAACTCTCTTTAAAACATACTTTTTATATTTTTCTTCTGGAAAAAGTGAACATTTGCAATGAGATTGCATGCATTTCCTCTTAAAATATGCAATTTCATCTTAATTTTCCCCTAAAATATGCATTCTCCTCATAATCTAGATCCTTTTCTGGAGTTGCCCTGAAAAATGCCTCTGGATGTAAGTGTTATTTTAGGATGCCACTGATACTCTGGTCTGTGGGAGTAGCTAGCTACCAAGCTTTAATTTAGCTGATGCCTTTTTCAAGTGCCTCTCTTTAATTCCTGATCTTGTTGTAGTAATTGATAATCTGTTGCTCTTTAAGGTTGTAAAATCTTACTGACATGATCTTATTTGCTCACAGGATAGTACTTACTTCTCTTTTTTTCCATTATACTTGAAGCTTCAAAGAAGAATGGATAAAGACTGACATGGAGGATGAAGGAGCCCCATTGGAAGACTTGGAAGAAGTGAAATAAAGAAGAGAAGAAAAGAAACAGAATTCATACATTTTTTGTGTGAATTTGGATTTATTTCACTTTACTTCCTGTGTTCATTTTAACTGTTACTTGAATATGTTTTTAAAGAAAGAAGACTATAATTTTTTTTTTTTTAATAAAAAAGGGCATTCTTAGAATCAGCATTGGTGTGCTCTTTATGTTGCTAAAAACTAATAACTGCCCTTTTTGGCTCTTATTTGATGCAAAAGGTTTGCATAAAAAATGTACAGTATTCCAGGGTTCCCCAAAATCTTCAGCTCATCAACCCGTACATGAAGTTTCAGTTTCTTGATTCCCAAACATTTACTGAAATAATTTAATAAATACTACTTGAATTGTATTACAAATAACAACAATATGAACAATAATCAATATAACTGAAGGCTGATCTCATTGATGTTGGACCATCCAACCCTGGGTAATGCTGTCTCACTAACAGCCATTTCATCTTCAGGACTAGGAGCTGGTGTGGAACTCTACAGAGATAATAATACTATAACATCTACCTATCCCATGTCCTTGGGAAAGACTTGATAGGTGGATAAAAACACATATCCAGTCTAAACATCTGTGTCAAGAATGAAACTTTGGAAGCTACATGCCTCTTCGTTTCAACTTGCCATTAGAAGGGGAGGGGAGGTGTTGCTTTAGAATGGGTTAGATGGAGGAAACAAAATCTCTACAATTCCGCTGAAGACTATGAGAGCCTGAAACCTTTCCAAGGACATTGCAGCAGGTGTGGAGAAGAAGCCGATAGTTCCCATAACAAAGTGAAATTATTTACATGGACTACATGAGAGAATGGGGGTTTGACCAGAGAAATTATTGTTTAATAGTATGAACTGGTATCTGGGAACCTCAGAGTTAGTTTTGCTTCAACATTACCATGTTATGTATTCAATAAACAGTAAGATTTTCAGAAACAGGATGAGCCTGGAGTTTTACCTGGATCCTCGAGTTGGATGTTGACATTCTGGCTGGCTAGGCGATGAACCATAATAATAAGGGGACTCAAAGGAAGAAAAGAAAAGAACAACAAAAAAGTGCAAGGAAAAGAAAACTAAAGAAATACAGAAATGACTTCCAAACTTTTTTTCATCAGATAATTATAATCTGATTGTCCCTGACATTTCTTCATTTATCAACCGCCTATAGAGTCCCATACATTTACTGATCCCCTCTTGATCCCCAACTATTTATCAAACCTTTTGGATAGCCCATTAGGCCTTGGGAGTTAATAGTGAACATTTTGGGGAACCTGGATCTAGTCATAGCCTTTCCCCAGCCTGGTCATTGTTTGTCACAAGGTCTGGCCATTTGTCACAATCTAGTTAAGCTATTTGAAAATCCAATCCAATCCAACCCAACTCAGAAAACTTGCACCATTAGGCTGCAGTTGCCAAAGAACAATTTTCTGAAGAGACATTAATCATGCAGTTAATTCAAATAATCAAGCATCAGGTCAGAATGTTTGAGCGGCACCTTTTGCAATTTCAGTCCTTCCTGTATTTTCTATCTAAAATAGATATGGGAAGTTGGTAAAATTAAATGGAAGAAAACTATTTGTTCATTGAACAAACCTGCTAAATCTAACAGATTGTTTGCACAACTACATGAAAGAAGAATTGTTTCTGAACATCATTCGTAGGTCAATAATTTATTTTTGTGTTGAAGCAGTTGGGGTTTTTTTGCTACTAACAACTAGCGCAGAAAGTGTTTTTTTTCCAAATTCCTCATTTTTATTGGTAAATGTGAGCTTCTACAGAAAGCTAAACATGGGTGTAAGAGCCCTTAGGATGGTCTTATATTTCTTCTGCTGTGGAATGAGAAATTTGTTGACTGAAGCTGGGGAAGAACTCCTTTTTATTATATAATATATTTATTATAAATAAAACCTCTATAGATCAAGTTGAAGACTGTGTATATCTTCAAAGGTAAACATACTGTGTTCTGCACAAAAGAAATGCATTGAAAACAAGAACCTATAGAAGAACTTTTGTCTATTGATGTGGTAGAAATTGTGCATCTTGGAATTATGATCCGTAGCTCATCCAGAGTCGCCTTACCAGGGAGGTGGGTGGCATAAAAATTGAATAAATAATAATAAATAATAATTACATCAATTACTGGACTATCCGTTTTTTAAAAAAACAAACAGGAGTTCCCCTTTCTTCTATTTTAGGGCTAAATCTGCAATGTTCTTTTCTTTTATTTTCTAATTCCTAATCTAGTACTGTTGGATATTTTAACTTATTTTTGTCCCTTTGAGTCAGAGTTGGCTCATGGACTAGTTCCTGTAGTTTTCTGAGCAAGATTTTTGGGAAGGTTTTTTTTTTTTTTTGCCAGTGTCTTCTTCCTCGGGTTGAGAGAGTGGGGCCAGTCCAAGGTCACCCAACCGGCTTTTGTTCCTACGGTCAGACTAGAACTCATGGACTAGAACTGGCCTGGAGCCCATAATGCCTACAACTATTATAACAAACTGGTGCTTTTTGGGGAAACAGCATCCTGACAATGGACTGTTGAATTTCAATCATGTCATCCAGAGTTTCAGGAATATGGAAATGTCATCGAATCGTAAAACTGAAGGTCATGTGAAGATCATTGAAACTAGCACTCTGCTAGTGGTCGAGCATCTTAGAGAGATGGTCTTCCAGCTTCTCTTTGAAAACCTCTGGCAAAGGGAGAACTCATCATTTCATGTGGCAGCCTATGGGGGCAGCCAGATATCCTTAGCTGGCTCAGTCTCTCTCTTAGGTTTACTCAAAGAAGAATCCTGTCCCCTGATGCCCGGCCCATCTTTTAAATTTCTGGCAACCACTAAACAGGGTGCCTAAGTGCTCTTAAACTGCTTGAGCTACCAAGATATAAACAATGAAGCCAAGCTTGACCTTAGCGGATGCACTCAGATCGTGTGTCACTCAAGGATGGCAAGAAGGAAGTAGCAGTAACAGATGTGCAGAACTTGGTGACACAAGCTGTTTGACCACCACAGAGAAGGGATTGCCGTGGTTTTTTTGTCTTGTGCTGCACTACTGGGAGAATGAGGAGCTGATTCTTCAGAAGCAAGTCCAGAACCTCAATCTTGCAAGATCCGGTATGATTTTCTACAAGGCAAGTCATGATCTGTGGATAGGCTTGCCTGTTTTATTTTCTAACTTCATTTTAGGGGCGTGAAAAAAAAATATCAGCCTGATATACACAAATATCGTCTCGGCTTTTGGTTAATGGGATTGCTAGGAAATAGCTTCGAAAAAGAAACAGCTAAGAAATTGGGAACTAAACTGTAACAGAATCCCTGAGTGAAAAACCATTCTTAGTTCCATAAACGTCATTTTTTAAATAATCCGGTGTTGTAAACTTTAATAATGACCTATTGTATCAGTTAGTGGTTCCTACAACCTGTACTCTGCTCTCTTTCCTTAGGCTTAAACTCACAATGAGGTGTTTCTTATGGCTGCTGTTCCTTCCAGGTAAATTGTTATAAATTTGTGTAGAGCAAGTGTGTGTGTGTGTGTGTGTGTGTGTGTGAGGGGGGGGGGCTCAGTATGTTTTGTCAAGGGAGAGAAGGGAATCTGGGTTACATTAGATTTTAATGGCAGAGAGTTGTCTTGTGAAGCCCTTAGGGATAATTCAAGGTTCAGAACTGAAATCCTTGGAATGCCAAATTGCCTAGTGGATGAGTAGAAATAAAGCTATCACTTCTTACCCTGTGATATAACATTCAGCATATTTACCAGTTGCATTTTCCAGCTCTGTTTTATTACTTCACTAAGATATTCTTTGCAAAAGATTTTGCTTCTATGAGTTCTTTTTTTTAGAACAGAACAGAATAACAGAGTTGGAAGGGAACTTTGAGGTCTTCTAGTCCAACCCCCTGCTCAGGGAGGAAACCCTATAGTATACATTCCAGACAAATGGTTGTCCAATCTCTTCTTAAAAACCTCTAATGTTGGAGTACTCAAAGCTTCTGGAGGCAAGTCATTCCACTGATTAATTGTTCTCACTGTCTGGAAATTTCTCCTTAGTTCTAGGTTGCTTCTCTCCTTGATTAGTTTCCATCCATTGCTTCCTATCCTGCCCTCAGGTGTTTTGGAGAATAGGTTGACCCTCTCTTCTTTGTGGCAGCCCCTTAGATATTTGAACACTGCTACTGTGTGACCCTAGACCAGTGGCTCTCAACCTTTTTAATGCCACGACCCCAACCGGTCGTAAGTCGAGGACTAAACCGGTCGTAAGTCGAGGACTGAACCGGTCGTAAGTCGAGGACTACCCAACCGATCATAAGTCGAGGACTTTCCCTGCCCGGGAGCGCCGCGCATGCGTGGTTCCGCCCCCTGCGCCGGCCGAGGCGTAGCTGGCAAGCGGCAGACATGGAGCAGACCGACCACCAGCTGGCCCAGCTCAAGGGAGGTAAGGCACCCGCCGGAAAAGGGGGGAAAAATGGCGGACAAAAAAAATGGCGGACAAAAAAATGGCGGACAGCCTTGTTTGGCGACCCCCATGAAATGGTCGATTGACCCCAAATGGGGTCCCGACCCACAGGTTGAGAACCACTGCCCTAGACCTTTTAACTTCAGCCTCTTCTATAACTAGGAAAGTTGGTGTAGATTTTAACTTTCTGGACTTAATTCGTTGCTTTGTGGGCAGGGAAAATAAATTCAATTTGTTCCATAGGGCTATTTTGTGATATTTTCATAATTTAATTATAGAATTTTAGGTTGTTGAGATTTTTTTTTCTTTTGCTAGATAAATAAACAGTCATGAAATTCAGGCAGCTTCTGGACCATGGAGAGAAATGTAATAATTTTCAAAATCTTTCTAACATAGTGTAAGCAAAAACAGTCTCTTTGAGAATGTTATTGATATATCATATGCTTTTGCAAGCTTCCCTTGAAAATCTCCCACACTAATGGTTTCAATATGGCATAAGTGTCAACACAACCACAAAATGTGCTTGTTGTCACATTATATGACTAATGTCATGGCACAGTTGGCTCTTCCTTTCTAAGCAGGATGTCGGTGGCAAGTCAACCCTTTAAAAATAGTAAAAGATAAATAATTAGGAACAACCCCTAATCAAACCGAAATTAATAATCTGTAGTCTGGATCTGAAGAAGATAATTGAAGTAAGTCCAAGAGTTTATTCATATTTACAGCTTGGTGTTTTTTTTAAAATATTCTAATTATTACTGAGTTTGATTTAAACATTACAAGTGATAAAAGCTAAATATAATACTAAGGTTTCATACTATTCAAAACAAACTATTGTACATGCTAAAAGGCAATTAGACAGTAAAATTAGAAAAAAGAAACAAATGGAAACTAACAAAAAGAAACAAAAAAAAATACAAAAAAGTCATTCATTGTATGATGAATCAATATAATATGCCTATGACTATTTGGCTAATAATAAAGTCATATTTATACAATTATAAGAATCAATTTTTCAACATCAAACTGAACAGAATATAGAGAATCATGTTGACTGACTTGACTAATAATATAAAGCCAATTGAAAAGCTAATCATTGATAGATTTTGTATAGTCAAACTCTAGAGTCTGGTGCATCCTTGCTGTAAAGCTTATGTACAGGTAATCTCACTTAGTAACCACAATTGAGACTGGCAACTTGGTAATTGACACAGTTGTAAATGTCTCCTTGTTGAAAAATACAATATTCCAATGGTGACCACATGACTGAGGGATACTGCAATGGTTATAAATGTGAGGATTAGTGGAAAAGTAGTAACTTTGAATAGTCATTGCACACAGCAATGGTTAAGTAAGGTCTACCTAGAAAAAAGAGCTGACTCTACCTTTAGGAAGAATGTGATAGCTGCTGTAGGCTGCTGATACTGGAAGCTGGTGATAAGAAGACCTTCAGTTTTTAAAGTAGCCTGATCTCCTGTTGTATAATGGAGGATAGGTTTCCATCAACAGGTCAAGGAAAGTCAGAAGAGTTTGGGTTTTATGCAGGGAATGAGAGGGGAGAGATTTTGATACTTCTTTCAAGCAGCACCATCTTCTGCCCACAGATATTTTACCCATGTAGTAGTCTGTATTGCTATTATCCTTGTCATCTTCTCATCTTTCTCACATTTCATCTTTCCTACTACCTTTTCCTATTGGTATATTATGATTTATCAATTGTTCTTGTATCTTATGATTTATGATTATATCTTATAATTTATGATCTATGATGTATCACTTTGTTGTTTGTATGTACATTGAGAGCTTATGCACTGGAGACAAATTCCTTGTGTGTCCAATCACACTTGGCCAATAGAGAAATCTCTATTCTATTCTATTCTATTCTATTCTATTCTATTCTATTCTATTCTATTCTATTCTATTCTATTCTATTCTATTCTATTTATTTCTTATTTCTTATTTCTTATTTCTTATTCTATTCTATTCTATTCTATTCTATTCTATTCTATTCTATTCTATTCTATTCTTATTTCCTATTTCCTATTTCCTATTCTATTCTATTCTATTCTATTCTATTCTATTCTATTCTATTCTATTCTATTCTATTCTATTCTTTCTTATTTATTCCTTATTCCTTATTCCTTACTCCTTACTCCTTACTCCTTACTCCTTATTCTATTCCATTCTCATTCCATTCCATTCCATTCTATTCTATTCTATTCTATTCTATTCTATTCTATTCTATTCTTCTAAATTGATGAGCTTTGGTGTTGTTGCATTTTTCTTTTTGTAATGCAACTCTCTTTGAGACTATCAATAGTTTCTTGGAAACTATTGGAACTAAGTATGACTTGATCATTGCATTTCTTTATGATAGTGTCACTTTTTATCCACTTCCAAACAGTGAGTAGAATCTGGGATGAGATGGAGGGTTTTCACTGTAGACGTAAGGAAACGCTACTGACGTGTTACTCTCTCAGTGCATTTTGTTTTGAGAGGTAAGGAGATGGACCTCTTAACCAAATATTATTTGATTCTCTTTTCAGGTTCTCTAGGAGGTGTTCCATTATCTTTGACACCCGAAACCTTAAGTGCTTGGGAGGGATCTTGTGTGCTCATTTCATGCAACATCGGAGACGAGTATAAAAGTCGACCTCTCGACCACGTGTCCTTTGCTTGGTATTTTCAGCCTTTCTTTAATGAAACCCTAGACGATTACAGCGGAAAGCTCTTATACAACAGCAACCGGACTACAACTGCAGTCAGTTCTGAGTTTCATAATCGAGTGAAATTCGTGGGTAATTTAGGAAGGAAAAACTGCAGTTTGAAAATTTCCCAGCTCCGCCCAAGCGATACAGGTGTTTATGGGATCAGATTATACTGGAGAGCTGGAATGTTGCCTTTGCAACAGAAATGGTTTGATAAAGTTACTATTACCGTTCATGGTAAGTCCTTCTGAGAAAAAAATGTCTCTTCCCCCTCTTTCTCCATATCTTTCTCCATACGAAAACCTTCCTTTTCAAAACACCACCAGTAAACCTTGGACATGGAACTTCCAATATATACATGATCGTAGGTTGTTAATTAAGGCATAACTTTCAAAGGTTGCAATAAGAAAATAGTGCTTTCCATCTATGGATACTTCACATACTCAGTTCTCCTAATTCAGCAGAAGGATGTGCTCAATAGATCGGTCATATTTTCTCAAGTAGAGATGAAATATTGTCCAGAAACATACCTTTCTCCTTACTGTAACTGCTTGACTGATGCACAATTATAATATTCTGGCTTATTGTCCTTCCATCTTTCCAATCAAGAGGTGCTCAACCTGAGCCTTACTACCACTATGTCCTTCCCCAAAATACTTTGGATGCAGAATCCCAAACCCCTTTAGATATTGCTGCTGAATTATAAATATTTTTTTGTATTTTATTACACTGAAAAAAAAGTCTCTTTGCATTTTTTTCTTTCTCTTACTTTCCCAACTTTTACTTTTTCTGTCTTTTTTATTTTATAATGAAATTCAATTAAAAACATTATAGTGGCATGTTGTTGTTAAAGGCTAAAGGCTAGATATAGTTACCTTATATTTACGTGTTACATAAAATAATGTATTACATAAAGTTACATATTCATAATAGTGCCATAGTGTACAGGTAGTCCTCAACTTACGACCACAATTAAGCTCAAAAATACCCTTTGCTAAGTGAGACAGCTCTGAAGTGAGTTTTGCCCCCTTTTACGATCTCTCTTGTGGCCGCTGTTAAGTGAGTTACGACAGTTGTTAAGTCAGTCACACAGTTGTTAAGTGAAACTGGCTTCCCAGTCGACTTTGCTCGTCAGACACTCGCAAAATATGACACTGCGACCGTCATAAATACAAGTCAGTTGCCAAGTGTCAGAATTTTGATCACATGACCCTGGGGATGCTGCGACAGTCGTAAGTATGAAAAAAGGGTCATGTCACTTTTTTCAGTGCAGTTGTAACTCTGGTCACTAAATGAATGGTTGTTAGGTTGAGGATTTTTATTTATTTATTTATTTTCTTTTTTTAAAAAAAATAATTTTCTATTATTACACTTGATTGGTGCTTAATAAATATCGTGTTGTGTGGGTTAATTCATTTGCTTAATAATACAAGTTACATTCTTAGTCTCTACCCCTTTTTTTCCCCAATGAATTATAATTTTTAGTGTGTTAGCTGGGGAGGGGGTAAATTAAATATATATTAAATGTAAAAGGATTGTTTTGGCTTTTCTTCCTCCACTCCAGAGTTCAATCTGACCAGGTGATAAAATTCTGGTTTAAACATGGTAGATTTCTAAATTAATAAATTTTCTCTTTAAAGAGCAATTCAACTTTGTTCAATATCTGTGTAAAATATTTTCTCTCTTCTGTTATCTGATTGCAGAATCCCCTTCAGAACTGATAGAGACAGTGTCCCCCGAAGGGGAAGAAAACAGTGTGTATAAAGTGGCATGTTCAATACCTTATAGTTGCTTAGATGAGCCCATAACATTATCTATTCAAGGATTAGAAGATCATCATGTGCGGTCCCCAGAAATGACCACTAAACTCCAAACAGTACAGACTGAACTATCTTTCACGGCCACTTGGGAGGACCATGAGAAACAATTGACATGCTTGCTAAAAACCCCTGATGGGAGAGAAATAAAGAAACCATTTGCAAATCTGAAGGTGAAATGTGAGTGTACAATGGGATGAAAACGGATACAGGGGTCAAGTAGAATGCAGGGGTCAAAATAGTCAAGGTGGTGGACACGATGGGTTGATCAACCCTTTGCCCATTTTTAAATGCTTCATGTGTTGACCACACCCTGAGGACATCCATGGAAATGGCGACTTATGGAAAGAACATTTTGTCTAATATGAATTCTGTTTGAAGGATTTGGGCCAACAATTCAATTTGTGTGCTTTGGTACACAGAAGAATCTCCATGTGTAAATGGAAGACCTTTAATAATCATGGCCTTCAAAAATTCCTGTCTCTGTTTTCTAGAATTTCAGGAGAAGGGCTATAGATTCCATACAGTGGCTGTGTATACACATACACGTCACAACCAATTATGTAAAAAACTAGGAATTGAACTCAGAAAATCAGCAAGCTAGTTTGTTTGGTTTTAATCTCAGTTAGTTATAGTTTGGGCAGGAGAGAGACCTGCTCTGTTGATAAAATTTATTCTAAGTCAAACATATTGTGTGAATCCAGAAAAACGGGTTTAATACAATATCTAAGTTAAGTATGTTGTTTATACCAAACTAATGGCTGTTGAGAAGCCTAAATTGCATGGCTTGATAATTTGATGCTTCACATAATAATTTCATTTTTCTGTGGGAGACAATATTCCAAATTAGGCACAAGGCTAAAAATATTCTGCAGATTAAAACGGAAAGAAGATCACGTATTTTTGCTGAGTAAAAAGTATTATTTTTAAAAAATATTTAATGCCCACTCATCCTTGCCTCTGGGAATCTCTATGAAATTGAAATGAGTTGTTTCTATGAGGTAACTATAATTCTAGAAAATTGAATCTTAATTGTGTCAATCAGTTTCTTGATCATTTTTGCTTTGTTTTATTTTAATTCTGAGTCTTGTTTGTTTTAGATGGTCCCAAAGGAGTTAAAGTGAATGCTGATCCTGGAGGCACAGTCCGAGAAGGAGACAAGCTCAGTCTGGAATGTATATTTAACAGCAGTAATCCGCCTGTGTATTCTTATCAGTGGTTTAAGAATGATGTACCTTGGAACGATTGGTCATTTGGCTCCAGATGGGAATTTGATAGTTTAAAAGGAACAGATTCTGGCAGTTACAGTTGTCAAGCTACTAATTTGATTGGAAGTGTCATCTCTGGAATACTGACGATCAACGTCCAGTGTGAGTTTATTAATTGGTGCTACTGAGCATCAATTCTCTCTTAAGGCCTCTTCACTGTCCAGTTCCTCTGAAAACATTTTCACCTGTCAATAAGTCAACCCTTGAATTTTTAATTCAAATACCATGAAAAATATGTTACCTACAGATAAGCTGACTCTAGAAATGTTCGTATGTTTTATTTTCACAAGGGGTTTATCTGTGGACAATCCATGGATTATCCATTTTTCATGGTACTTTGGGTAAAAATGTGAGGGTCAGGTTATCCTCAGATGGGCTTGAATGTAAGTAGATACAGAATATATGGGTACTTTAAAAACGTATTACTGTATGTACTTGTGCATATGCCTATCTGCAGATAAACCAAACACAATTTTTCAGTGCCTTTTGACACCTAAAAGTCTCAGCTTATTTGAAAATATATGTGATATTTTCCTGCATTTTATTCATCCATGATAGAAAAGGAAACATGGATATAGTTGAATATTTGTCCCTTGTAGATTTTAAATTTACATCTCAGAATTTTGGAAAATCCATGATACTATTAGTCTTTCCATAATGATCTTTTGTATAGTAACAATGATTCCCAAGTAAAATTGCATTGTAAAATGCCAAAGTGTTATAAACCTGCTACTTTTTTTCTCTTTTCTTTTTGAAAAGTATCATTTAATTAAACATTAAAAGCATTAGAAGTAAGATTTCTTTACTATTGTACAAAAGAGTAAATATTTTTATTAAAAAATCCTAACAATTCTATATACTGTATAGTGAGAAAAAGAGAGAAAAAAAGTTTATACACAACTTCCTAAAAATAAAAATAAAAAATAAAATCTTTAAAAATGAAATGAAACTCTTTAAACAAAACTGAAAACGCAATCTTCCAAAACAAGAAATAAATCCAAAGAACCCTCCCCCCAATAATTCTATAGATAAATGTAGAAAAGTCAATTTAAAGAAGGAAAGAATGAGATTCCAGAGTTTGAAAGTGTTTAGTGGAATGATATTATTTCTGTAAATTGTAGCATTTTGAACACCTGTCTTTTACAGATTGGGAAGCCCAGAGAGGTCTTAATAAAAATGGGGATCTATTTAATGGTCAGGGTTCAAACTTTTAAAGGATAAAATCAGCATCTTGAATAAAGTCCAGAACAATACAGGTAGTCCTTGACTTACAAACAATTTTTATGGCCATTTACAGCATCCTGCAGTCATGTGACTACAATTTACAATGTTATAAGAGCCGTGGTGGCGCAGTGATTAGAATGCAGAATTGCAAGCAAACTCTGCCCCCTGCCAGCAGTTCGATTCTCACCAGCTCAAGGTTGACTCAGCCTTCCATCCTTCCGAGATCAGTAAAATGAGGACCCAGATTATCAAGGGGCAATATGGTGACTCTGTAAACCACTTAGAGAGGGCTGTAAAGCACTGAGAAGTGGTATATAAGTCTGCTATTGCTATAGTTATTTTTCTGGAAACCAACTTTCCTTGTTTCTGGCAAAAAATGCTGCTAGCAAACAATGGTTTTGCTTAACAGTCATGATGTTTGCTTAATGACCACCTCAAAAGAGATCATAAAATTAGGGGGGAGGGTGTTTCTGTGTGTGTATTATGTGATGACACAACAAAAATTGCAGGCTCAATTACAATACTCGGCTGAGCCCAAACCAAATGGCTGGGTTCAGAGCCACATTACATCTTTGAGCACCACACCAGAGGGCTGAAAACTAAAAAAATAAAATAAAAATGGGTGTGACTAGATTAATGAAGCGGGCTGGCCTTTTGACTGAATTTAAATTTAAATATTAAAGTGGATATATTCATGTGCTCAAAACTGTTCTCCTTTTTGTTATCGTCTTCTTGTCCACATCAAATTAATTTATTCCCTTGCCCCTTCAGGAGAAAGAAATTGCCAAATATTTGACTTACAAAAAACCTGAGATCAATTTTGTTTTCAATCCCCCAGATCCACCCAAAGTCAACATTATAATGACACACTCATCCATCCAAGAAAGGGACCATGTGACTTTGACCTGTTCAGCCACTGGCAATCCTTCCATCAGTGGTTATGAATGGTACAAAAGCAGCAAACCTGGTATTATCACAGCTAAAAAGGATCTGGAATTTGAGGGAATTCAACCCAGTCATTCTGGTACCTATCATTGTGTGGCCCGCAATGAGATTGGCCAGTCAAATGCATCTGTCACACTGAATGTTCGTTGTAAGTATATATAAACCTGTTTAATGGCTGCATTTTGCTTATGGATCAGCAGGAGATCGTTTCCATTGTCTGCTCCCCAATCTGTAACAGCTTAAAGCAACCCTTTCTTTTTTTAGGGTGTTGTTGTTGGGGATGTTGAGAAAAAGACACAGTTATTTTAAACCACAAAGCTGCTACATTCACACACTTGTGTGTTCTGTGTGCTCCAAAGAACCACTTGGAGAGTAAGTGCTGCACAGCCCTTGTTGTATATCTCTTCTCCTCCAGTAAGGCACTTCAGAGCAGCAGAATTCCATATAATGTCCTTTAGAGGCCATTATATGGAAGGGTAAAATACAGATTTCCAGTTGTTGCAGTTGCATTGGTGGACAATTTTTCATTCTAAAATTATCAGAGTTATGGAACTCTTTAATACTAATATCCTGAACATGAAACTCACAGCTTTTGTTCCCTCAAATGATAAAATTTGTCTTCCCTCCCTACGACAACAGCAACAACAAAAAAACACAGTTTGAAGTAGCTCTAATTATGAACTGGCCAGTCTATAAAATCTATGTCTGGAGCTGCTGTTTATATGTACTTTTTAATTGGGATCAATGGGGCACAACTGGGATTGACATTTTCACACAATTCGCAGCGCTTCAATATTTTGTGGACTGTAGCCCATTGCACACTGTGCCATCTCAACAAAGAAGTAAATCAGGATTGCTGTACTTCTGCTACCAACCTGCCTCGGGTGCAGTGCTTCTGCTAATTAAAAGTGGGGTACAACTTTGCAGAGACACTTCAGAGGAGTCTGAATCATCTCTGCAAGTCATCACCACAAAGAACCTCTTTCAAAAGCCAGTGAATTCTAGAGTTTATGTACTGCATCAGAAACCTATCGATTTTGTTTTGCAGATCGCCCCAAGGATGTCCAACTTTTTCATTTAAATCATTTGCCCATAAAGGAAGGAGACAAAGTCATTTTGAAGTGCTCTGTGGGCAGTAGTTACCCCAGCAACAACTGGTACAAATTTTTTGAGTCAGGTGTTGACGCACCTAGAAGCTGGGACTCAACACGGACGTTCTTCGCAAAACCGGCACCACTCACTTCTTACAGATGCGAAGCATGTAATAGTATTGGCTGCACTTCCTCTCCATCCATCACTTTGGATATCCTCTGTAAGTAAGAATAATTATATGATGAGCTGGAAACCTTTAAGCAGCTAAACTGTTCCCAGGGAGATCCACACGAGCATTGGCCATTCAAGTCTTGGATACAGCAAGTTTAAGAAATTGAACGTGGAATAAATTATTTTAGGAAACTCAGGTTATAAATCTTTCAGTTTAGACTGAAAGAGCACAATTTTGGTTGGGATCATAGCCACACGAGATCTTTGGGCAGCATACTGGAGGGCTGAACTCTAAAAAATAATAATAAATGGGTGTGACTAAATCAGGGGTTTTCAAACTTATGAAATGTGCACTTCAACTCCCAGAATTCCTCAGCCAGGCATGCTGACTGAGGAATTCTGGGAATTGAAGTCCACAAGTCATAAAAGGGCCAAGTTTGAAGACCCCTGCACTAGATTAATGAAGCCGGCTGGGCCATGACATCTCCCATCAACCTTTGACTGAATTTAAATTTAAATATTAAAATGGATATATTCATGTGCTCAAAACTTTTCTCCTTTTTGGAGTGTTAGAATTAGAATTTCAACTGCAACTATGGGAGGGGATATAGCAGAAGACCCTGCTATGGGCTCCCTGGCTTTATTTTATTGATTTATGAGTTTGTTAGAATTAGATCCTGCCTTACCTCTAGGAGCTCAAGACGCACTCCCACCTCTATTTTCCACCACAATAAAAGCCTTGGGAGATAAGACTGAGTACTGAGTGAGAGTGATTGCCCAAACTCACTCAATTAGCTTCTATAGCTGAAGATGTACTTGAACCTGCATCTCTTTATCCTAGTTCAATATTTCAACCACAACCTCAGATCGACAAAGCTCTGGGCATAATCAAATCATTGTGGGGCATTACCCCTTATAGTTTGTGCAAGCACACAAATTGAATAGAGAAATGCTTTAGGTTGGTTTGGGGGGGGTACTTCAAAATTTGAGAAGGATTTAATTAAAAAGTATATAGCTTTGGGTTCAAAAGGGAAAGCGGGTGCTATTTGTTGAGTTGTTCAGTGTAGCTAACATATGCCTTGGATGCTGGTCACTCTGGGCAGTTGTTCATGGTCAAGAGCAATAGGATATCACTCTCTGTGCTTGCATTTCTCCATTTTCCCCTACAGATGGCCCCAAAGATGTCAAGCTCAATCGAGAACCATCGGGGTTGGTCCGCGAAGGTAATTCTGTTCAACTGATTTGTAGTGTGAGAATGGCCAACCCCCAGCAACTCAACTACACCTGGTATAAAAATGGGCAACTGCTGCCACTGAACTATACAGAAAATGTTCTACTCATCCAGAACGCCCATTCAGTGGATTCTGGCATCTACCATTGTGTATCGAAAAACATCATAACAAATGCAAAGTCTCCAACTATTAAGCTGGAAGTGAATTGTGAGTACAGATTCAGTGTATAGTCATGATATTCTTGCTGTACTCAATGGGCTTTCTCTTCTAGGTGAAGTCATCGTTGACTCAAGCTTGTTTCTTGGTTACTGCTTTAGGAACAAGGTCATCTTGGTGACTTTGGGCCAATCCTTCTTTTTCAGACTTAGGAAAGCGTTTCAAGAGAAACTACTTCTGAATTTTTGTTAAGAAGACTGCAGGACTTGTCCAGACACTTGGCAGGAGTCAACAACAACAAAACAGAAAACTTACCGTAGTGGTCATTGAGCTCTTTTTTCTCCTTTGAAAAATGAAAACTGTACTTCTCAGAACATGGGGTAGTCTGCCATATTGGGTATGATTTAGGTGGCATCTAGTGGAATTTACTGCTGTTGGATGTGATCTTGACCCCATAAGTGATTTTAAAAATGGACAAGATGTATTCAATGGAGGACTGAGCTATTAGGATCTATTAGGTTTGTTGTCTCTTTACTCCCTCCTCAGACTTACACCTGAGATCTAAGCCATAGTGAGAGATCTCTTGCTTCTAAGGTCCTCATATGCTTCTAGATGATTGCTATATGAAAAAGAATCATGGACTTGACAAAACAATGTTTTGCATGCAATTCTGGCAACTTTGAGATTTGTGGACTTTGACTCCCAGAATTCCACAACCAACATGACCACTAGTAATAATTCTAAGAGTTGAACCATCAGGAATTTACCATGGCAGCCTATTTCTCCAGGATTCTTCTTGTGTCCTTATAAATTCCTTGTCTGTCTTGTCTTGCAGTGATGCTGAGAATCAAATATACAAATGCTGAATTAAATTGAGTGACTCTTTCTTCTCTGACAGATGGGCCTCGTAATGTTCATCTAACTCTAGATCAGAAAGGTGTTACTGAAGGAATGGATATCTATTTGAGGTGTGATAATGATGCTTACCCAACGGCGGTTACTTACAAGTGGTACTGGAAAGGCGAAGAAATCTTTATGGAGGATTCAAAAATCCTAGTACTCAGAAAAATTAAGGTTGCACAGTCAGGAGACTATCTTTGCAAAGCATTCAACTCTATCTCAAATAAGGAATCACAACTCATCACCATTAGTGTATCCTGTGAGTATTTCCCTTGAAAAATATTGTTACAGTTCTTAGCTGACCATCCTTTATTATGAAATTCTTGGCAATGGAAAGACAACTAGTCAAACAGAACCAGGCAACCTCTGTTTTACAAGTATTTTGGAAAGCATCTCCAAAATATTTGCGTTGGCTTGGACATTCATGGGAATAAAAATCAGGCTGGCTGATCCTAAAGTACATTTTTTTTTTGCATATGCAACTCATGACTGAAGAATTCTTTATGATGTTTAGTCTGTTTTCAGGAAGGGTTTATGTTTTCATACTTGGATTTGGGTGATAAAGCTTGGAAGAAAGCTATAGATTATTCCTTAAAAAAAAATGAAAACTAAACTGAATGAAAACCCAGATGTCCCTATGCAATTCGGTTCATATATTTTACAAATTGTATTTCTCTCCTTCATTCACTCTCTCATATTTATACTAACATTCCTAATATATGGATTTTCATTTAAACCAGCTTCCATAATGATCTATTACTAGTATACATTTTTGAACATAACTTTCCCAAATATATCCAACTTTTTCTGTGCAGCTTCCCCCAATATATAAATTTGTCCCAATTATATACATTTATTTATATGTGTTTGTGCATGCACATGCATGAATTTTTAAGCCAAGAGGAGTTGAGGGAACATTGCACATTAAATACCATTAATTTTATGACTGGTTGAATTGAGAAAATAAGATTTACGCTTTAAGCCTTTCTTTTTACTATTATCCTTACTTAGAATTGAGTCTGTACAAAGATATTTCCAGAGTATAAGCAAATAAATGGCAGTAGTTGAATGTTATTCTGCTGTTTACCACTTCTGGGTTCCTCTAAGCCTGCAAGCTACATGAATAGAAATATGATGGGGCATTGATTGGCATAGGTTTGATAAGCAAATAAAGGTCATGTACTCAAGTTTACATAAAATCAAATCAAGATCCTGCTAATCTTTGTCATTTTTCATTTGTATTGTGCAGATAGCACAGCTACAGTGATGAAACAAACCTTGATTAGCTTTGGCGTGGTTCTTGCCCTTATTATCTTATTGGGGTTGCTGCTTTATGGCTGTAAGAAATGGTAAGCAAGAGTCAATGGCCTGCAGGCTATGGTCTACAATAGTTGATCTGACTATTGCAGGGTATCAATCCAGCTAATAGGATAGGGTAGGATGGTGGGGAAGCTCACTGTTTCCAAGGCAGACTTTTGCTTGGTAATATTTTACAAGATTCCTTGCTCCATAATTGACTGATGGGAGACACTTCAAAAGAAAACCACAGGATGAGAAATGAGGTACCATCAGAATCAAATCAAACCTTTATTGCAGTCTTTAGGCCAGAGAGATTAAGATCAAATTGAATCAAAGGCTGAAATAAGATCCAGCAAACTAAATGTTCTACTCCAGGGGTAGGGAACCTTGGTTCTTTTATGACTTGTGGACTGGCTCAGGAATTCTGGGAGTTGAAGTCCACGAGTCATAAAAGAGCCAAGGTTGTCTACCCCTGTTCTAGTGAATCCTTAAAAGGGCAACTTACTAGTGGTGTTCAGCATGACACTGGGGTACCATGGCCTATATTGGGTGTTGCCATTTCTGCAGGAACCACTACAGTTATGAAGTACCAACCCCTCATTTTTGCTAGGACTGGGCCCATCCCACAGGAACAGCAGCATGCTCACAGTGGAATCACAGCATCCATCCCGTGACCTGGTTCCAAAACCATGACCTGGAGATGACCTAATTCTGTTTCTCCTCTTGCAGGAAGAAAACAACACATTCAGACATTGGAAGTTCACAGAGACCAGGCTCATTTTTTGTGAGGAAGGTAAGGCTCACTTTTGATTGTTTTCTACGATACAGTAGAGGTGGAGAGGAAATCAAGGAGGATTTGTAGGCCTTTTAGCCCCCTTCCAGTTCTAATACCCTAAATGTTCCTCCTTCTTTTAAATCCAGTGACTGTGGTATTAGCCTATAATACTTCTGGAGGAGGAGGAGGAGGAGGAGGAGGAAGGAGGGAGGGAAGGAAGGAAGGAAGGAAGGAAGGAAGGAAGGAAGGAAGGAAGGAAGGAAGGAAGGAAGGAAGGAAGGAAGGAAGGAAGGAAGGAGAGAGAGAGAGGGGGCGACTGGACCTGCTCCTAAACTGGTACTGTTTTGAGGATGTAACGAAAGGGAATTGGGGATTGTTTCTCTTTCTCATCTAATTTATCTCATAGAGTTCATATAGAGTTGAAATGTGAGAAGAGATATTAATATACCATCTTGAGCTTTCCAAAGAATCAAAGGGTGACATCATTGCAACAAATAGGTCATAAATGGATACCATTTGGCCAGCACCCAGATTTTCATCTTCTAACAAGCTGCACTGATCAAATTCTTCCTCTCTACTGCAGCTATGAAATTTGGAGGCTCAGTATTATTTCTGGTAAAGTCTTCCCTGGCTGGAATATCAAGATATTTTTTTCTCCTCCCCTTAGGCCAAGCGAGAAGTACCACTGAATAACAACTGCAGACTAAATGAAGGTAGAACGGGCAGACCCCAAGACTGCCAGAACGAGGAGCAAGATGGCTCCATTTCATATGCAAGACTCCAGTTCTCCCACAGTGGGTTAAACGACCATACTATTTACTCCAGGTATGATAGTGAAGTGACAAGAGATCTAAGAAATCGTGAAGGATACACTGCTGGCTTCAGTTTTTAAGAGGCTCTTGACCTGTTCTGCCCTTTCTCTAAATATGCCTATTGCTTCCTTTTCACCATGGTTCCCACAGTCCATCTATTTGCCATTCTCTTTGGCTCTCCAGCATCTTCTGGGAGACAGAGAAGTTGAACAAGTTGAGCTTCTGCTTGCTCACTTGGAGAGAGAATGTGAAGAGCCTTATAGCAGGGAGAAGAAAGAGTAGCTATAGGACCAGGAGCTTACAGGGATTGACAATGGACCCCCAATTGATACCACAAGTCTTAACAATCCTTGCTGTTAAACCTGGTTCAATGTAGAGGTCAAGATAAAGTCCTTTAGATTAGGGATCTGCAGTTCTTAGAAGAAGCTTCAGTGATGGCTGAAGTGAAGGCTGAAGTACAACTTATCTCCAAAGTCCTTTATCAAATGCCCAATACTGCTCTTCTAACCAAGTGAGTAGTGTGTGTTTCCCTTTGTTTAATGGAAGTCATCTCTGAGCATTTGTAGATCAAAGTGGTCAACTGAGGCTCACCTTGCAGAGGTGGAGTGACTTAATTTCCACAGGATGCTACATTATATTAATTTGAAGATGATCAGTTGTGATTCATGCAAGCCTATATCAGACCTCCATGAGGCTGACTAGATGTACAAAACAGCAAATGATTGCCTCCTTGGCTGCTGAAATTCCATACAGGAGGTCTACCTTTGAAACCATAGCCTTATTTTGCAGTGTATTTGCTCCAAAGTCACTTTAGTTCCAGTCTACAAAGAAGGATAGCAAAGTTCTTGTGGATCCTAAGTAAAAAAGGGAAATATATGTGATGGTATACAAAACATGCAAAGGAGAGGTCAGCTAGAGATACAAATTTGTCTCCTATTAAGAAATCTTTTTCCCCATATTTTATTCTAGTATGTATGTATGTATGTATGTATGTATGTATGTATGTATGTATGAATGTATGTATGTATGTATGTATGTATGAATGTATTTAAAAAGTTATTTTGAAGAGAAGAAACAAATGATAGCAAGGCAACTGGTGCAACACAAACCCAGGTCATCAAATAATCTCATGCAGTTAATGTCTTTTTGATTACAGAGTCATTCTTCCAAATATGGGACTAGATTCCTCAGAGAACAACGTGATCTACAGTGTAGTAAAGAAACCTACATTGCACCCCAAGGTACATGTCCTGTTTGAGGCGGATCCCTGTGGTTTATGAACAGGGGACATTCTTGATCCTGTAGCTCAGATATTGGTGGGATTGCAGTTCTCAGAATGTTCAACCAGCACATATGGAAGGAATCTATTTGGGGAAGGCAGGCAGTCCTTCTTCTTTCCTGTTTCATTCCATATCAGAGATAGAAAGGTTTGAATAGATCATGCAGATGAACAGAGGTAGGTCTCCTACAAAGTGATTTTAGTGATAATACTCAATATTATAGTCTACTGATTTTCTATTCAAAGATCAGGGCCAGGTATACAGGAGTCACCAGATGTGACCCTCACCAGATTTCTTTGGCTATAATTTCTATTCTATTCTATTTATCATACTAGCTTGAGATGAGGAAATCTGAAATCCAGTTTATGAGAAACTGGTCATGGTCTTTTGATTCAGCTTCTTCTTTTTAGATTTTTTTTTTTTGGGTACAATTTATGAGAAGTGATTACCCTTGAAATAGTAATTTATTTCTCTTAAAAAGACAAACATTCGCTTCCCTTTTCTGGGCTGAGTTTCTTTACTATGTGATGTAGTCCCAAGGGTGTCTGCTGTTGATCCTCTTCCCTCTTGGGCTTGCCAGCTTTTATTTTCATAAAGTCCTTGTACCTTTTTTTTAGCAACATGTAAAACAGAAATTGCATCATGAACAAGGACGGACAGTTCGGGCTAATTTCCCATTTTTCCAGCATGAAATCTTCTTCAGGCCATTTCTGCATGAGCTTGTAGATTTGTTTGAAAAATGGAAGGTCTGCAAAGATCTTTGTTTGCATTGCCACGCACATTTTCCATATGCTTTTGTGCACACTGACTTTATGCACTTTTTGCAAGCAATTTTCCTTTATTTTTAAAGGTGACATGCACATTTTAAAGTGATGCCAGAGATGCCAGAGCCTTGTAAACCTCTACTTATAATGAGAGTATGGGACTTTTTCAGTTTAAGTGTAGCTTTCTTGCAGTTTAGGAAGCGAGGCCACCTAAATAGGCTTCAGAATAACGAAAAGCTGTACGATAGAAAACAGTAGCGTCGTCAGTGTTCATTCCCTTCACCAATAAAATAAGCTGACAAACACCCCATCACACAAAGAAAAATAGAAAAGAGTTGTTCGCTAAGAATGATCAAGAAAAATATAAGGGAATTTGAAAAGTCACAAGGCATACGTTGATACAAGTACTTGGACTTCAAATCGGTTTTGATTAGGTGACATCTAAAAGCTGAATTTCACTTGATCCATTAGGTCAGGTAAAAAAAAATGTGATCTGCATTGGCAGGTAATGGCTCTCCAGAATTGCAAAGTGAAGTCATTCTCAGATCATTTGAAGCTGCTGATGACTGAACTTGTTCACATTTAAGTATACTGTTCACCCAGATCTAATATCCTTTACCTAAACAAGTTCCTCCTCCTCCTGTTTTAGAATGACACCAAGATGGATTATGAGAATGTGATGAACAAAGAAGAGGAATTGCACTATTCTTCCTTGGTGAACTTGGCATCACGGCCCCATCCCATCAATGTAGACTTAGAAACAGATTCTCAATCAGAAGACAGTATCCAGTATGCAGCTCTGAGGCACTGATCTACTCAAGTCTGCAGAAATCAGGACTCTCCAACGGAGAAGTGGGATTAGAATTGGGTGTGTCTACAGCTTTCTTTTTACAACAAAGAATAGCAGACTTCTGCAGGTAAAAGAAGGAAGTTAAAGTAGGATAAGGGGCTAATAAAACCAACATTTATGTTTATATTGCTGTATGTCCAAGTCAACAACAGGAGGTATATGGCTGGTATAATGGTCAACTTTCAACATATAAACCTAATTCACTGGCGAGACAGTCTTTTTTTCATGACTGATAAAGCTTGCTCCTCTCTTTCTGATATTCAATCCACCCCTTAGAAACTATTATAGAACAGCTCAAGGTTGTTCATGTAGTAAGGACCTTTTCAAGCTAGAGATCTTCCTCACTAGAGAACCCTAATTTGCAACTTAGGCCATCAAATTGCCATGCATTGTATCTTCTGCCATGGCACAATTAAGGTTGTATCTTCTGCCATGGCATGAATAAAACAACCATGTCAGATCTATTACCAATCAGTTTTTCAAAATAAATTAAACAATAATCCTAGATACCGTTTTCCTTCTGTCCTTCTCAGAGTGCAGTTAGTTTTGTTCAGCCAGGTACATTAAATCCAACAATCTCAGCTTGATTAGTAGTTGTGTTTTTGTGTATGTGGCTTAATGGGTTGGGCAAACCGAGCCCATTTGGTTAGTGCAGGGGGTCTTCAAACTTTTATGACTTGTGGACTTCAACTCCCAGAATTCCTCAGCCATACAAAGTCATACAAGCGGGTGTGTCTCACTCAACAGCTATCTTGCTTAGCAAAAGAACTTCTGATCCCAATTATCATTGCAAGTCAAGGATTGCCTGTATCTGTTATGAAGTCATTCCAAAATGTACGATGGTACATTTATTATACTCTATTATATATTAGGGACAAGCTTATTCTGGGTTGTCCTCCAATGTTCAGAAGGTTTGCTGTTCTTCCAGGGAGGCTGTGGGTATAATCACTCATAGAATTCATTTACGACTAATAGCAGAATGTGTTTCCCATGACTAAAGGCTCCCTTGCATAAAAATCACTAGACATTTGCCACTTAACATTTAAAACAGACGAAGAATATGCTGGGGCCGGAGATCTTCTTGCTGGGTAGGGAATTTTTAAAGAAAAAGAATAGTCCATATACCTGTGTCGGTTTGGAAACCTGCTTCCCCTTCGGCCAATTTATTAAGTACCACAGAAAATTATAATTTGAAGAAGGACGGTAGAGTCTGTAGTTGTTTCCTTGTCAAATGCTAGGCATGCAAATGGGATTAATTTGCAAGTCATTCTTACGCCCTCTCCCTGGGAAAGCAGGCATCCTATTCATCAACAAGCTTTAGTGGCACTTAAAGATGCCAGCCATCAGCAAATCAACAAACACCATTGGAGGAAGGAGCTGCGGTGAGGAGAGTGAACCATGCCCACCACTTAGAGGGAAGGCAAACAACAGCTGGAGCCAGGGGAGGTCAAACAGTAATTTGGTCAATATTCTTCATTCACTGGCTAGATAAGTCATTATGGGCCCCATTTACCCTCTAACCAATCCTGACCTTTTGGACATTTTATCAGATAACACCACCCTGTTTGCTTTTGTGCCACGCAACTGTGCAACAGCTCGATCTGCTATGGAAGTCTGGCTGATTGACGAGGCTGTTTGTGTTGACAGAATAGAGTCCACACAGTTAAATGTAGTGTAGCAAAGTGCTTAGCTATCTGGGGAAGACACACCTTAGGGCTGGATGCTTCCAGAAGATGCTGACTCTAATGCCTTCAGAAACTCCAAAGCATTGTGTACTATACCAAAAGGAAGAACTTTCCCAGTATTCCCCCCCAAAACCCCCCCACCCACAACAGTTTCTTGCATTGTGATGGAAATCAATAGACAGTATTAGTGACTCTTCGGTATAATAAATAGAGGGTTGGGTTTTGGTCCCAGTGGGTGGATCATACATGTAATTAAAATGGCTGCTTCTCCAAGAGTGAGGGAAGCTGGTGATGGGTTTGGAAGACTGCTTTCTTGACTTGTTGCATTGTTATATAGACCTACAACTCAAGGACTTGGCAGAGGGGCCCTTGGACACTGTTTCCCAGTCTTCTGAGTGTATACAGAAGACACTTCTGTTGGAATAGTTGGCAAAGTCTGAATGTACTGCCACCATTGCTGCCTACAAATCATAAATGATGATTCTCCAAATCTATTTCGCTTTTTTTTTTTTGCTGAAGAAGCCAATAACATATACAGGTAGTCCTCGACTTACACCAGTTCATTTAGGGACCATTCAAAGTTACAACAGCACTGAAACAAGTGACATATGACCATTTTTCACAGTTACGACCTTTGAAGCGTTCCCCATGATCGTGTGATCAGAAATCTGATGCTTGGCAACTGGTTCATGTTTATGATCGTTGCTGTGTCCTAAAGTCATGTGATCCCCTTTTGTAACCTTCTGACATGCCAAGTCAGTGGGGACGCCGGATTCACTGAACAGATTCACGAGTTACTAACTGATCAACTGCAGCGATTCACTTAACAACTGAGGCAAGGAAAGCAGTAAAATGGGGCAAAACTCCCTTAACAAATGTCTCATTTAACAACAGAAATGTTGTGCTCAATTGTGGTCGTACGTCGAGGACTACCTTTATCTATCTGGCTCACCATCTTCTCAGTTAGGAAATAAATCTTTGAGATAAATACTAACCCCTCCCCAAGACAACCCTCCCAAAAGCTCCCCAGATCATTTCACTTTTGAAAAGAAGAGTTTCTCTCTTTGATAGCGCTTACTTGACAACTAAAAGCTGATGTACTATAATCAGGGGTGTGTTACATTAAAGAGATAATTTTGTCCTTCCTGGTTGACTCAGTTTAGAGAATAAACTTTCCACCAGTCATCGGACCATGTTTCCTTCCTGAAGAACTCAATCTATTTTCACCCTCAGGCTGAAATGATATAATACGACATGTTACTTAAATTATGTGTATAGATATATGTCTGGAGAATCACAAACTGTGAGACCACCAGGAGATAAAACTATAACAAGTTTATTTACAATTAAAAACACCTAGCTTTCGCCGGCCTCCTGCCGGCTTTGTCAGGGTGGCTAACCATCAGTGGGTGGCTGTTTTTATGGGAGTGGTGCCTTTTGCACCCGGCTCCTCGATCTCGTGACCGGGCCCAGATAGTCCTCCTGTTTTGCATTCTTGATTGTTCTTTTGCGAGTTGTTGCGTTCCTGGCTCTCTCTTTCCCACCTCCTCTCTTTCCCTGTTCTACTTGTTCATCATATATACACATAGATATATGTATATATATGAGTGTATGGATATGTATATGTGTGTGTGTGATACTTAAAAAAAGGCATTGGTTAGTATCCAATGGTAATTTACAGAGATTGAATATGTAATGAATGTATACACATATATACCCGAATCTATTGTATATCATCAATATCTATATTTAATATCAATATCTGTTCCTGCATCTGTCTCTTTCCCTCAAAGATTCCAGGTCACATAGAAACAGGTTATCCTTTTTTTACTTGGCTGATTGATATAGATGAGCATTTTTAATATTGTTAATGCGATGTGCTGGTAAGAAAACAACATAAAGCCAACAGGGATTGATTACAGGGTAAGCTTTTTCCACGGGGTGTCGGTGCTTTTTTTAATTTTATTTTTAAAGTTCAAATATTGGCCACAATGATGTGTGATGGCTTGTCCCCTTTTCACACACGGCCCAATGTACATAAAGAGATGTGCAGCTTGCATTTCATAGTTCTGTGTGCCATTATTGCCTTTTTTGACCCTCTTCCTTTTGACAAGAATTAGTCCTTGGATAACAACTATAATGGAGCCTGCCCTTTAGGATTATAAGCCATCATGGTCATAAAATGGGTCGGTCATATGACTGACCCAATTTTACCTTTTTTTTGTGACACCCGGTAAGTGAACACGCTGGTTATAAAGGGCGAACACCATGGTCATTCAGCAAATCCATTTTTCGCTCTGGCACAGTTTTGCCAAAAATAAAAAATGCCAGGGTTTTTTTTGAAAATCATTGTAAACATGCTGTCATGTAACTGTGGGACATGGCAAATGCACCCAAAGTGTGGTCACATGATCAGTGGTGGTGGGGGGATACTGTCAGAATTTTGGATCCGGGTCATAAGTCCCCCTTTTTAGTTAGGTTGTAACTTTTCCCTCTAACTACCTGAACTTTCACCCAAAATATTGTTGCCTGTATATGCTGTGATCCAGTGATGGGATTCAAATACGCGAACAGCTGGTTCTCTGAATGGATGCTGCTTCCGGAAGTCCATTCCGAGCATGGGCAACAAAAAATTAGCTACAGGTTCTGCCGAAGTGGTGCGAACTGGCTGAATCCCACCACAGGAACGGAGGGAGGGAGGGAGGGAGGGAGGGAGGGAGGGAAGGAGGAAGGAAGGAAGGAAGGAAGGAAGGAAGGAAGGAAGGAAGGAAGGAAGGAAGGAAGGAAGGAGTGGTGGGATTCAAATATGTCAACAACCGATTCTCTGTGTGGATGCTGCTTCCGGAAGTCCATTCTGCACCTGGGCAAAAATGATGCAAAAAACCCCCATTAAAGTTTAAGGTTTTGGATATTAGAGAATTCCAGTATCAGAGGACTCATTCCTTATTTCCAGAATTGCAGGCCTGCAGCAGTGTCCCAGCTTCTAGGGATTCGGACCTCTTTCTTCATCACTTGTTCCGTCTTCCTGTAGCTCAGATTAGCCCAGGCATAAGTCCAGTGGGCCATGAGAAACTTCGTATGACTTTCCGGGATTTATGGCTTTATTGCCCTGGCTCATAGTCGCTTTCACTGAACAATTTCTCACGGTCCATTTCATCAAAGGGCTGCCCTGTTCCATGCTTCTTGCATCTGCTCTCTCTCTCTCAGTCACTCATTCTCTGTCACACACCCAACTATTTAACAGCTAAACCTGAGACGTTCTCGGCAGCTGCTTCTGCTGTTTGAAAATAGACGGGAGCAATAAGTAGACAGGCAAGCTTTGCTCCTTCCTGCGCACTGATTCTGGTGCAATGGCAATTTGGGAGATCGTGTCTTTGGTGGTCTATGGGGCAACCATCCTCTTGGGATTGCCCTCCAATATCCTGGCCCTTTACATCTTCTATTGCCGTGCCAGGGTTCGTTTGACCCCCAACCTCATCTACATGATCAACCTTTGCCTGTCTGACTTGGTCTTCATCCTTTTCTTACCTCTCAAGATGCTGGAAAAAGGAAAGATGGACTGGACGATGCCAGGCTTCCTGTGCCCTCTTTACAATTTGATTCATTTTGGCACAATTTACACCAGTGCCGGCTTCCTAACGGCTGTGAGTGCGGGGCGATTTTTGGGAGCTGTTTATCCCATCCATTATCAAGTTTACAAAAAGCCTTTCTATTCCTTTCTGGTTTCTGTGGGGATCTGGAGCTTGGTGGGATTCCACGGCATTCTCCTCTTTGCTCTCGAGATCTCCAGGGACACCAAATCCAGCCTTTTCGCTGGTAACAGCTCTTCCTGCTACCACAACTTCACTGAAGATCAGTTGGCTTTATTGGCTCCT